GCTTCTAGCTTTTTTCAAATGGGATGCTCTATATCTCATTCTATATTCTTGAAAAGCACAATGCTTCGATTTCAGAAACATATAGTTTGTCTATACTTGATTGAGCAGTCTCTCATATATTCGACTCCAAAAATTGTAAAAATACTATCATACTACTGATTTTGTGAACCATTCTACCTATACAGGTGAAAGCAAGCGGGAAATTGTGCTCTTCAAGAATATAGAACCAAATATAGGGCATCCCATTTGAAAAAAGCTAAAAGCATGCAACATTTCACATTTCTGACATTCAATTTTTCTTTGTGACCATGGATTCTCAAAATTTACCCAATACTGTACAACTTTTGTATTTACATCTACCTGTAAAGGTAAAGGCTGTAGGTGGAGTGTCAATATACAGGGTGTCCCACGGTGGATGGCGTATTAGACGTTTATGGAAAACTAAAAAGCGGACCATTTTGAAAATTTGACAATCAGGATAAACGACCATGATCTACAATTTAAAAATATTTTTGTTTATGCGGTGTTGCCGCTTCTACTCTAAACCAGTGGTAACAGCGCTATTTTAAATGGAACACCCTGTATGTAATTACATATTTCAATTCTACGTTAAATTCTGAGCAGATTTCATGTGATATACCCATACCTAAGTTCAACTGTTTTGGAAATATTGACAGCTGAAAATTGACTTTTTGCAACTTTGACAGGCTGTAAAACCTGAACGGTTAATTTTAGAGAAAAACCGATTTCGCATTCCTATCTTAGATTTCCATGAACTATCATTTGACGCCAACTTTGAATTTAACCGGAGATTAAATTTAATTGGAATTTTTAATCATGGATTAAATTTGAAGTTGGTGTCGAATGATAGTTTATAAAAATCTAAGATAGGAATGTAAAATCGGTTTTTCTCTAAAATTAATCGTTCAGGTTTTACAGCCTGTCAAAGTTGCAAAAAGTCAATTTTCAGCTGTCAATATTTCCAAAACAGTTGAACTTAGGTATAGGGTATATCACATGAAATCTGCTTAGAATTTTACGTAGGATCCGAATATGTAATCACATACAGGGTGTTCTATTTAAAATAGCGCTGTTGCCACTGGTTTAGAGTAGAAGCGGCAACATCGCATAAACAAAAATATTTTTAAAGTGTAGATCATGGTCGTTTATCCCAGTTGCCAAATTTTCAAAATGATCCGCTTTTTAGTTCTCCATAAACATCTAATAGGCCATCCACCGTGGGGCACCCTGTATAAAAAAAACACCCTGTACTTGAACAATAATTTATTATATAGTCAGAATTTATAAGATTATCCACTTTCAATAGTAATGTTACTTTATTAGACTAGTAATATATTGTGTCAAGTTACAAACGAGTGGATTGTTGCGGAACTTATAGGTGGACCTCTGCGGGACGAGCGCAGCGAGTTCCGCAGCCATCTATTCATCAACATGTTGTTTAAGTATGATACTAACCTGAGTCACTCAAATGTGAGTTATTCTTATTAGTTCAAAAACTATACGTTTTTCAGGTGAGTGTCTTATTTGAATAGTTTAACAGTATATTGATAAATAGATGGCTGCGGAACTCGCTGCGCTCGTCCCGCAGAGGTCCACCCATAAGTTCTGCAATAATCCACTTATTTATACTTGAACAATAACTTACTATATAAAGTCTGAATTCGTAAGATTATTCACTTTTTGTCAATTTGCCTTTCAACAGGAATTAGTAATGTTACTTTACCAAACTAGTAACATAATGTGACAAGTTATTCAAGTACAAACGAGTGGATTCTTGCGGAACTTATGGGTGGACCTCTGCGGGACGAGCGCAGCGAGTTCCGCAGCCATCTATTCATCAACATGTTGTTTAAGTATGATACTAACCTGAGTCACTCAAATGTGAGTTATTCTCATTAGTTCAAAAACTACACGTTTCAGGTGAGTGTCTTATTTGAATAGTTCAACAGTATATTGATAAATAGATGGCTGCGGAACTCGCTGCGCTCGTCCCGCAGAGGTCCACCCATAAGTTCCGCAATAATCCACTTATTTATACTTGAACAATAACTTACTATATAAAGTCTGAATTCGTAAGATTATTCACTTTTTGTCAATTTGCCTTTCAACAGGAATTAGTAATGTTACTTTACCAAACTAGTAACATAATGTGACAAGTTATTCAAGTACAAACGAGTGGATTCTTGCGGAACTTATGGGTGGACCTCTGCGGGACGAGCGCAGCGAGTTCCGCAGCCATCTATTCATCAACATGTTGTTTAAGTATGATACTAACCTGAGTCACTCAAATGTGAGTTATTCTCATTAGTTCAAAAACTACACGTTTCAGGTGAGTGTCTTATTTGAATAGTTCAACAGTATATTGATAAATAGATGGCTGCGGAACTCGCTGCGCTCGTCCCGCAGAGGTCCACCCATAAGTTCTGCAATAATCCACTTATTTATACTTGAACAATAACTTACTATATAAAGTCTGAATTCGTAAGATTATTCACTTTTTGTCAATTTGCCTTTCAACAGGAATTAGTAATGTTACTTTACCAAATTAGTAACATAATGTGACAAGTTATTCAAGTACAAACGAGTGAATTGTTGCGGAACTTATAGGTGGACCTCTGCGGGACGAGCGCAGCGAGTTCCGCAGCCATCTATTCATCAACATGTTGTTTAAGTATGATACTAACCTGATTCACTCAAATGTGAGTTATTCTCATTAGTTCAAAAACTACACGTTTCAGGTGAGTGTCTTATTTGAATAGTTCAACAGTATATTGGTAAATAGATGGCTGCGGAACTCGCTGCGCTCGTCCCGCAGAGGTCCACCCATAAGTTCTGCAATAATCCACTTATTTATACTTGAACAATAACTTACTATATAAAGTTTGAATTCGTAAGATTATTCACTTTTTGTCAATTTGCCTTTCAACAGGAATTAGTAATGTTACTTTACCAAACTAGTAACATAATGTGACAAGTTATTCAAGTACAAACGAGTGGATTCTTGCGGAACTTATGGGTGGACCTCTGCGGGACGAGCGCAGCGAGTTCCGCAGCCATCTATTCATCAACATGTTGTTTAAGTATGATACTAACCTGAGTCACTCAAATGTGAGTTATTCTCATTAGTTCAAAAACTACACGTTTCAGGTGAGTGTCTTATTTGAATAGTTCAACAGTATATTGGAAAATGGATGGCCATAAGTTCCGCAACAATCCACTCGTTTGTACTTGAATAACTTGTCACAATATATTACTAGTTTGGTAAAGTAACGCGAGCGGCGAGCGGTATATTGGTGGTGCTTATTTCCTTGGGCGGCTACCTATAAAATTGTGGAGGGGGTCTATTCGCAAATGAAAGAAACAAACTATTGAGGTTTACCAAATTATATTTTATTATACTTAAAACAAAATTTAAAATAACGCAAATATCTTCCTATGTCTGACAGCCGCTTCTAAATTTTCCCAAATCAATTTAGTTCATATCCTTTCAAACTTTATTACTTCGGACCAGGAATTATTCATACTATAACGCCCTACTTCTTTTACTCTTAATAACTTATACATTTATACATTTACTCTTCCAAAATCGAGACTCAAATAATTGGTGATCAGCCTTTTACTAATTTTTAGGGCTCGGAATTAGCTGAAAAAATATCAATTTGTTTATCAAACGTTTTCGCTTGGCTTCTTGTTGTCGTTCTAACCTCAAACTTCACTTTTTTCTCTGTCGATGTCGGATCTGGCTAGCATCCATGTTTCTGTCTCTTTCTTTTGCACAAGTGCACAAAGCAAAAAAATAGATTTTAGAGTAAGAGCAGAAACAAGGTTGTGCAAAATCGATATTTAGCTTTTACAAAGTACCTAACAAAAACCTTAGGTTATTATGGCTTTGTAGCAGTTGTTTTGGTTATTAGCTTTCTTTAGAGAGTAGTTTGGTTTAAAATATAATTTTTGAGACACCCTGTATAATAATGTTTGTCCTTAACTACATAAATAGCTTTGTCTTTAATGTATAAGTTGCAAAATCACATAACAGATCAGTTAAACAACGGTTAAAAATAAGTTTATGCTTCAAAGAAAATATTTCATATAGAAACTTTGAACTCATTTTTCTGGGACATCCCATACTCGTACAAAGAAGTGACCATAAGCAGAAATGCTTGTTTTCAGGTATAGAATAACATACTGCTGTTTTAAAAAAATCGGCCGATCACAAGGATTCTAATATTTAGTGCCATGTCCTTTCTCCAAACTTGCCAGAACTTCCCAAATAAATCACCTGTCAAAAGATGAATGTGGAACCCTATCGAAAATCTTCAGAAAAAAAGTAAAAACTCAATTCAAAGCAAATTTTTTCATATTTCCAACTCATAAAGGCCATAAGTGTCCTAAAACCGTACCGATTTTGAAAAAAGCACTCCTCAGTAGTACTGAAATGATGATTTTTTTGTTTTTTGTTGAGATTTTGTGTCCTAATGGTCCTTTGGAATCCCTTAAACTTCATTCACTAAAATATTCTGAGATTTGGAGCCAGATTTTATGAAAAAAGGCACTCAGAAAAATTTAAAAAATTGATAAATCACCCCAAATTGCTTAACACGATTTTATTTCTGGAATTATAAATTCAAATTAGGTTCAAAATACTTAATAATTATTTTGATTGAATCGGCTTTTACTTGGTGGAAATCCATTATCTAATAAAAGATTTTTTAAGTAAATTTTAATACTTATATATTTCCACAATTTTTTGTTAAACTTTTAACATGTTTCGCTAAACTTTAGCTTCATCAGAAAGATTTTAGAAAAATAAAATGTAGACATAAAAGTGAAATTGACAAATATAAAAAAGGTAAAAGCTGGTCTAATTTTATGTTAATTTAAATAGGTATTACACAGTAAATAAATTTAAAAGTGGTGAATTGTTTAAATCTAATTGGTCGTTCAATAAAGTAAAGTTTAAATTGTAAAGTAACAAACTACTAAATAAACTTATCATTATTATTATTAACTTTTTCAAAATCCAACCAAATATCTCCTTTAGCTTTTAAAACAAATCCGGCAGTTTCAAAAGTGAGAGGCATCTTCATTTTTTGGCTCAAAGTTACATTGAAGCTTCTCAAAATTGCAACTAAACCCACTTTAGTTTGCCATATACCAAATCGTTTGCCTAAAAAAATAAAATTATATTTATCCTCAACAAAATAATAATAATTGATTCTTACCAACACAAATTCGTGGTCCTTCACCAAAAGGTAAATAAGAACAATAAGGACGTTTTGCCTTGTTTTCACTCGTAAATCTTTCAGGATCAAATTTCATAGGTTCGGGATAATATTCAGGATCGTGATGGATACCGTAATTAGAAATCATTACAAATGAATCTTCATCAATTTTTAAATTAGTCCCTGGAATGGCCCAATTTTTTATACACACTCTAGGCAATATTGAAAATATCGTATATTTTCTTAAAGTTTCATCAAAAACTCTATCCAAATATTCCATTTCATTAATAGCATCATATACAATTTGTCCATTATATTTTTGCAAAATCTCATTTATTTCTTGTCGCAATCTGTTTTGTATATTTGGGTTTGCAGCTAACTCATACAAAATCCAAGTTAAAGTGCTTGAAGAAGTTTCAAATCCAGCTTCAAAAAAAAAATACATTTGAGCTGCAATTTCGTTGAAACTTAAAGCTTCCATTTTGCCTTTTCCACTAAAATCTGAATGATCTTTGGTTTTATCGCACAAATCTAAAAGTAATTCAGCTAAATCGTTTCTTTTTGTAGTTTCCTCTTGACGTTGTTCTTTAACACTTCTAAATAGATTCAAAAAGAAATTTGAAGTTTCTTTAGGAAATAATTTAAATCTAAAAAAGGATAAAATATATCTTGGTATTAAAACAACTAAAGTGTTTTTAGTTCTGGACCATTGTACATCAAAAAATGCCCTGGAATGTCCTATTAATTCCTCATTTTGATTTTCTAATGTTTTACTTTGTAATCCAAAAGCACACGCGCTGATAACATCAATCGAAAACCTACTAAGTACGTCCTTGATATCCAATGATTGATTTTGGTCTAATCTCTTGACAAGTTCCCGTGTAAAACCTTCCATAATCACAACATTCCTTCGCATTTTAGCTGCCGTAAAGGCACTTGGCAATTTGGCCCTTAGATTTTTCCATTTGTAACCTTCCATGTTGAAAAGGTGCCCGGAAAGTGGCTCGACCTTTTCGTCAATGTATAATCCATGATTGGGGAAAATGAGAAAATCCGAAACTAGGATTTTCTTGATTATCTCATTGTCCACTGGTATGTAAACGGGTTTTCCACAGAAAAAGGCTCCACCAATAGGCCAATTATTTTTCTTGATTTCCAAATACCAATCACGGAATAAGGCACCAAAAGAAACTTTGTCTAAGAAAAAATCAGTGGCGTTGCCAAAAGGGATTGATGGTTTTAAATAGGGAATGCCCCTGTTTTTGAAGTAGGAAAAACAGCTTTTGTAAAATGTTATTATAAAGACTAGTAGCACTAAAAGAAGGGCCCACCACCACATTATTTTTCTAGAAGTATATTTTTTTTCAAAAAAATTATTAAAATGTTAATTTATCTAACTTACAATATTAAATACAAAATATATAGATCACTAATACACTTGCTTAATTATTATCAATCTTAAAATGAGCTGTTTTAGGTTTTGGTCTTTTACAAATAATGCTTTTATGACCTTGAGCTAATTTTTGAAAATTAGTAAAGTGTAAACATTACGCACTTAAAGTAATATTAATTTATTTTCCATATTGATAAAAGATGACGAAATAAAATTAATTAATATTAAAATGCGTGTCTTAAAGTATACTCAAATTTGCCTAGATACATACATAATGTGATTCAAAAATAGCAACTGGTTAAGTACCTAAATACTTAAAAAAATTGTTTGTCTAAGAAAACATTATTATAAGCTGGATTTTGTGATGAACAACCAGAAAAAGAGGAAACTTCAGACCTTCTTGAATTATTAGAATCTAGATAAATAAAAATGAAGATAACTTATAACTAGATGATAAATTACTGCACTGTTAAGTGGATAGGTACAGGGTGTTTTTTTATACATTGACACCCCATCTACAGCCTTTACCTTTACAGGTATATCCTGTTCACATTCCGATGTCCACAGGTGCAAGTAAATTTATCACCTTTCCCTATCCAATATTATTGAAAGGTAATAAATTTTACCTGTACCTGTGGACATCGGATTGTGAACGGATAATATATGAAAAATGTAATACAAAAGTTGTACAGTAGGTATTAGCTAACTTTTTAGAATCCATGGTCAGAAACAAAGATTGAATGTCAGAATGTGAAATATTGCATGCTTTCAGCTTTTTCCAAATGGGATGCGCTATATTTGGTTCTATATTCGTGAAGAGCACAATTTCCCGATTCCAAAAGTATATAGTTTGTGCTAAGTACCTCAAATTTTACCTTCAGCTTTCACCTATACAGGTAGAATGATTCACAAAATCAGTAGTAAGATAGTATTTTTACAATTTTTGGTGCCGAATGTAAGAGACATTGCTCAATCAAATATAGATCGGGGCATTGTGATCTTCAAGAATATAGAATGAAATATAGGGCATCTCATTTGAAAAAAACTGGAAGCATGCAAAATTTCACATTTCTGACATTCAATTTTTTTTTCTTACCATGAAGAATTCAGCCAAAACTCTACAACTTTTGTATTTACATCTTTCTTCTGCCTGTAAGGTAAAAGCTGTAGGTGGGGTGTCAATATATAAAAAAACGGCCCGTACAAATAGGTGGATTATTGCAGAACTTATAGGTGGACCTCTGCGGGACGAGCGCAGCGAGTTCCGCAGCCACCTTTTCACCAATATACTGTTGAACTGTTTAAATTAGACACTCAGCTGAAACGTGTAGTTTTTGAACTAATAAAAAAAAATTCACTACTGAATGAATCAGGTTAGTATTGTACTTGAAACACATATTTGTGAATAAATAGCTGGGTCCACCTATAAGTTCCGCAACAATCCACTCGTTTGTACTTGAATAACTTATCACAATATATTACTAGTTTGGTAAAGTAGCATTATTTAATTCCAGTTAAAAGGCAAATTGACAAAAAGTCAATAATCTTACAAATTCTGACTTTATATGATAAGTTATTGTTCAAGTACAAATAAGTGAATTGTTGCGGAACTTATGGGTAGACCTCTGCGGGACGAGCGCAGCGAGTTCCGCAGCCGTCTACTCACCAATATATTGTTGAACTGTTCAAGTAAGACATTCACTTCAAACGTGTACTTTTTAAACTAATGAGAATAACTCACATTTGAGTGAGTCAGGTTAGTATCGTAATTAAAAAATAAATTATTAAATAGATGGCTGCGGAACTCGCTGCGCTCGTCCCGCAGAGGTCCACCCATAAGTTCCGCAACAATTCACTAATTTGTACTTGAATAACTTGTCACATTATGTTACTAGTTTGGTAAAGTAACATTACCTATTCTTGTTGAAAGGCAAATTGACAAAAAGTGAATAATTTTACAAATTTTGACTTTATATAATAAGTTATTGTTCAAGTACAAGGTGTTTTTTACATATTGACACCCCACATACAGCCTTTACCTTTACAGGTAGAAGAAAGGTGTAAATACAAAAGTTGTACAGCTTTGGCTGAATTTTTAGAAACCATGGTCAGAAACAAAAATTGAATGTCAGAAATGTGAAATGTTGCATGCTTTCACCTTTTTACAAATGGGATGCCCTATATTTGGTTTTATGTTCTTGAAGAGCACAATTTCCCAATTCTAAAGATATATAGTTTGTATATATTTGGTTGAGCCGTCTCCAACCACTGGCGTAACTATCATAGGACAGTTCGGTGCAAATCACCGAGGCCCCAGAGACTTGAGGGGTCATTACCAGACAACCTAATAACATTTAGGAACCTTGGAGTAAAAACCAAAAATGGAATAGTATAAAGAGTGTCTCAATTAAAATGAGCAAGTTGACGTCTACTTCCGGTATAACCTGACGTGCCACCATCTTGAACAAAAAGTATACTGTCAATTTTTTTTTCTGTATACAGTCTCATATACGATCGATTTGGTAGTTCCTAGATACTGAAATCGCTCAAATTTTAATTACTTGTAAAAGTTTCTCTGGTAATAGCAAACAGATGATGTCATATCCTATGGAGATTTGCAATATATATAGGCATACAGATGACATCATACAATCTATCAGGCAACCTCGTTCTTTTAAACCAAGGATATTACACACTATTACTGGCTTACTCATCAGAATCGATTTTTGGAATCAAGGTCATATGGGGATGCACCGTTGCCGACGTCATTAACGGTGTCGTTTGCTGGTTGCCCAGCGGTCATAGTTTAGAATATACATTTGTGATGAAAAATATCATCTAACTAGCTGTACCTTACGTACGTTGCTACGCCTCCCCGAAAACAATTGTTTAAAACTAACCCAAGATTTACGCTTCAGATCTATTCCACAAGGGTTGTGCATTTTTTCGGGATAAAAAGTAGCCCTTTACGGAGAGACTACATGGTAAAAATTTCAAGGAGATCAGTTCAGCAGTTTCTGGGTCCATAAACAACGAACAAACAAACATCGATTTTTATATATTAGATACCATGCGTACCTATAAAGGATTCACTTAACGGTTTACGCACTATTCAAAAGACGTAAAATTTCACTCCATACGCAAGTGCGTAAAGTACAATTCACTTTATACATACTAGTGCGTGAAGTGATGTCAATGATAGATGTTGACATTGTCAATTTAGTGTTTTTCTAGTAAATTTTTTAAGCACTAGTACGTAAAGTGGTGGGCATATGTGTGTAAAGCACCTTTTTTCAGTCATGCGATTGTCAAAATTCACATTCGTGTAAAGGTCCACTTTACACATTTGTTGCCTAAATAGCTATTTTTAAGGCTTAAAATTAACGTTTTTGGGCGTGGCACCCAATAATGGCGGGGGGGGGGGGGGGGGGGTGTTAATCTAATCAGTCACCGTAATCTAATCTTGCACCGAGGCCCCCTGATGTCAAGTTACGCTACTGTCTCCAACATATTTGGTTCACAAAATTTTAAAAATACCATCTGAAAAACTAAGTTCCTCAAATTTTACCTGCAACTATTCACCTGTACAGTTGCGATCAAAAAAAAGTACCTAGTACAAGAAAAATCTCCAAAATCTCCTGGTCTATTATACATTAATTTAATTCATAACCAAAAATGACATATTTTTGGCATTTTTCGACAAGTTTCTAACCTAGAAAGCTTCAGATGACATTACTTTGTCATTTTTCCACCCGTTTTCAACCTAGAATATGTCATTGCCTGTTTATTTACTGTCAAAATTTTGTATGTTACACCGGGAGCTCAAATTGGGGTTGATAAGTTTTGTACTACTTTTTTTTGATCGCAACTGTATATGGTTCACAAAATCAGTTAGTGGGATAGTATTTTTACAATTTTTGGAGCCGAATATAATATAAGAGACTGTTCAACCAAATATAGACAAACTACATATTTTTGGAATCGGGGCTCTTATGGTCTTCAAGAATTTAGAACCAAATATAGGGCATCCTATTTGAAAAAAGCTGAAAGCATGCAAAATTTCGCATTTCTGACATTCAATTTTTGTTTTTGACCATGAATTCTAAAAATTTAGCCCAAATTGTACAATTTTTGTATTTACACCTTTTTTCTACCTGCAAAGGTAAAGGCTGTAGGTGGGGTGTCAATATATAAAAAAACAGTACAAATAAGTGGATTATTGCGGAACTTATGGGTGGATCTTTGTGGGCACGAGCGCAGCGAGTTCCGCATCAATATACTGTTGAACTATTCAAATGAGACACTCACCTGAAACATGTAGTTTTTGAACTAATGAGAATAACTGACATTTGAGTGAGTCAGGTGAGTATCGTAATTAAACAACATATTGATGAAAGAGGTTCACCCATAAGTACCGCAACAATCCACTCGTTTATACTTGAATAACTTGTCACAATGGAATCGCTCCACATAAAGCAATTGTCAATTTTCATGGCTAAGTAACTTAACACCTTTGAAAGTGTTTTTGCCAGAAGATGTGCTCCAATTTGTGTATTGTAAGGGATTTAAATGGCGCTACACAAGTTTTTGAAATCAGTAATTTAACATGGACAATCTGATCAGAATTAGTTACTCGGAGATAGATACAAGTTTCGTGGGGCGTCTGAAAAGCCGTGAAGTTCCATCGGAAGAGAACCTTGACAGGATATAAAATGTGGAATTTGTAGGTCGTTGAGTTCCAAAAGCTCTGAACTGAAATTACGCCATTTCTGAAAAAGATCGTCAGGTAAGTCTTGGTCCCATGATAACTTGAAAAGCCACACAGCAGAATGTGCATTTAGCCATTAAAATTCAACTTTATATTTCAATAATTCGCGTAACGGGGCAGTGAAATCAGCTGAAATGGCTTGAAAATACTCTGGCGCCATATTGAGCCCGAAAGGCAA